AAGTGAACCCTTTAAAATTGTTAGAATGAATGTAACATTCTCTTTTCAACAGTTAGCCCTGCCAAGTGATACACTGTACAAGTAGAGAGAAGTGTACAGTCAAAGAAAAAAGCTGGAATGAAATAGCATTTCCCATGCCAGTCCAGCAGCTACCAAACAAAACTGGGTTCTAACCCCTCTAGTAGAAATTTTTGTTACACATGTGTGAATTCCATGAATCTTTTTAAGGGCAACCTAATGGCAGGCTGAAAGCCCTATTTCCATTCCTCCATGAAAATGTCCTTTATTACCCTTTTCCTCCAATATGACATGGGAATCTCAGTATGCTGCTACTGAAAGCACAAACAGAATGCTAGGATTGTCATTATGCAAACTATATTTCTAAGTTTCTCCACCAAGAAGCTGAAGGTAATTCCTTCCCTACTTTTCCCCCTCTTTCTATAGGTGGCATAACAAGCAATACATTACCACCTGATTTGGCCAAAAAAACCCCAAAACCGGAGCTTTCTGGGAACTGGAGGTCTCTGAATTACAATCCAGAATCTTTACTCTGATCCAGTAAGTTCATTTTATTGTGCAATTGTTCAGGATTCCCAGCAAAGTCAGCAGGACCTCATTATGCAGAAGAATGGCCAAGTCAAGCTCATATTTAATACCTGTTGTCTTTGTGTTTACAGACTCAGTGCAGTGATAGAAAAGTTAAAACTCCACCTGGGAGCCCATCACCCTGCCTGCCCTGACATCCAGAGCCAGACATGGAGGCAGTTCTTGCCACAGCAATAGGGAGGGCTGTGCATACCTTGGGTCAGTTTGACATCAGGTTCAACTCAATCTGGAAATGCCTTTCAGATTTTACCTGAGTTTTCACTGAAGCTTATAACCCTTATTTTACCTTAATCATTTTGAAAGAACCCAGCCATGTGAAATACTGAGCTCTGGCAATACCAGTAAATTACTCTTTACCTCATGTAAACAATGCTGTCATTTACAGGCACAGCCCAGCATGAACTTCAACAAACCCAAAATCCACTTCCTCCTCTTCCCCAAAACAGAGACAATATCAGCACAATGAGACACCTTGAGCTAAACCATCTCCAACAACTGCACAAGAACTGTACTTCAATTTTAAGCAGTCTAACACTTTCCACAAACAGGTTTTGCTGGTGATCACCACAGGCAAAATACAGTCAGTGATTTCATTTCAGGTATACTACCCAAAAAACCCCCAAACCAGCAATAACACAGGCTGGGAAAGTCTGCCTGAAACTGATGCTGATTTTCTGCATAGATATTAAATTATGGTAAAGAAATGAGGCAGCACACAAGTGAATAGCATAATGTCTTTCAGGAAGGCATATTTTTATTACTGTGCTACAGGAGAGGCTGTCTGAATTCAGAGTTCATCATGGTCAAAAATATAGTGGTCCACACATGTTCATTGTTAAAGACCTGGCTTGCCACCTAACACTTATGTCAGTAAGGAGGAACAAGAAAAAAGGAACTTCCAATGGAGGTTAAAGATTTGTTTATTTTTTTTTTTACCCTGATCTATTAACTAATAAGAGACAACTTTCTAGAATTAAAAGATCCTTAACAACTCTTTAAGGACATAAAGAGCAAGAAACACATGCAGCAGAGCACCTCTGGTGTGCTATTAAGGCCAGTGCTGGCTCTTATGATGGCTCTTTTATTTACATAGAAATGCTTGTTGCTTGACAATTTAGATAAAAATGTTACCGCTACTCTGCATGTGCTGTAGACTGAAGGTGTAAAACCACTGGACTAACTAATGGAGCCTTCACACATCATATCTTGTTAAAGAAGAGGTAACCCATTCTCAAGTGTGATGACAATTAATCAAAACCACAGCATCTGAGGGATGCACTTGTGACAGAAGTCTAAGCTGTCTTTCTGAGTTGGATGCCAAACTAAGAACTGATTGAAGCTATTGCCTTCCTGTAATGAAAATGATGGATCTAGAGTGCTTATTTGAAGACACTGAAAAATATTAAAACTACACTAAATTCTATATTTCTCTAACCCACCAACATAAAGGAAACATCAGTGACTAACCAGGGATCCTTAATTAGGATGCAACTTTAAATCCAGCTGCACATAAAAGTCCACTTCATAAATTTCCCTCAAAAGTTGAGTTTGTCATTCAGTTATTTCTTGTCTTCATTTGTAACTTTCAAGAAAAGTACACATTGCCACAAATGCCATTGTAGCCAACTACAATGAAAAGTGATGAATAGGGGCAGAACTGGGAGACAACATTCACTCCTGCTATGTTCCTAACAAGTGTAGATGGGGGTTTTTTGTTTGTTTGTTTTGCTGTTTCATCAATTAACATATGCGGTTAAATTGAAATGCAATTTTAGGGTCTTTTGTATTCAGTATACACAAAATCAAAGGTATACATTATTGAATTATGAATTTGTTGTGCCTAAACAAATCTTTGGGGGGGATAAAGGAGGAAGGAATGTAAATACATATGTAAAAATAACCTCCCTACTTGAACTGCCTATTTAAATTTACACTGGTGTTTCCATGGAAGTGGGGGCATGAGACGACCAAACAGCTCCACCATTAGCCCATCTGTGGTCTCAGGGGTCCTCACTGCTCCTTCTCTGTACCCTCGATGATGTAAAGTTCATTTACAAGGCACTACCTAAGGAGCAACTACTAATTATAGCAAGCCTGCAAAGTTACTCAATGGGTTTGTGACCTGGACACAAGCTAAGACCTCCAAACTCATTTCACTTGTGACCTGAGAAAGATTTCAGTGCAGACCTCTGGAGGTGGCAGCCTGGAGCACAAGGACACCACACCACCAGCCAGGCTCTTAATTATGAGCTCTTGTTGCACAAGATGTTGAAAACAGTAAAAAAAATCTAAAGTTTTGCTAAAAACTATGATGTTTCCTGCTAGGCCAAATTTGCTGCTCACAGAATTTAGGTATTTTATGTTTAATTACTTCATGGTCTATAGATTTATTTACAAGATTATGAGAATGGCAAGTCATAAATATACACGAATTTTTTATTGGTTAGTTTGGATTATACATAAATATGCTGTGCAAGCTTAGCAAAAACCATTTTCCCCAAGCTGAATCAGAATGTTCAAACTGAATTTTCAAATGTGTCTCTCTGCCTTATCTAAATTCCAACATGACATATAATAAATAGCTTCTCATTTACTGCGATCATAAAAATTTAAACAGCCTTGAAATAGTTGCTACAATATAGGGGGAGATTATCAAATCTATGTTCCATATATCTACTTAGAACAGTAAAACTATTTTGATATTTAAGAAACAACACATAAAGATGCATTGTTGCAGGAAAGGCTTTTACCTTATTAAAAAAAAAAAAAAAACACAACAAGGTTCTACCCAATATAGTAGTATTAGAGTTAACAATTTGCTGTTTTACACTGCAAAACAAGGACTAACAGCCCTTACACATCATGTAGTGTCAGATTTGCTTTTAAAAAGAAACTATCTGATTTGATTCTATACAGTGATTAAACATCTTTGTGCTCTGCTGAGTAGGGTATTCTCTCCCCTCCCCCCTCCAAAAATGGCATCAAAGCAATCAAAATGGTAATGTTCAGCATGAATGGGGCCCCATCCCCCACCGGCAAACTCCGCAGACTTTTCTCCATGTTAGGAGGAACCAACACCCCTTCCTCACAAAATGGAAGCTTCCACTACCAAACTGAGAGTGCTGACCAATTCTCATTACAATAAACTGGGAGAACAAGGGTGGCAGTGCAACCACCGCCCGCAGGCACGCAGCACACGGGCGCTTTGCAACTTTTGAGCACAACTCCGGCAAAACAAAACAGAACACACGCCAAAAAAAAAAAAAAAAACAAAAAAAAAACCAAAAAAAAAAAAGAGGGACGGGGGAAAGAACACGCGTCGCCTTCCGGCGCCCCCTCGGCGGGGCGGCTCGGGCCCGGCGCTGTCCCCAGCGGCGGTGCTGAACGGGGAGGCCGCGCTCAGGCCGGGCAGCGGCGAGCCCGGCACCGCCCGGCGTGACCCGGGGGCCGGCCGCAAAGTTCAGCGCCGGGATGCAGAGGGGGGGCTCGGGCCGCCAGATCCCCCGCTGGCTTTTCCAGCCGTCTTTCCCGCGCTGGAAGCGGCGGGAGAGAGGCCGGGGGAGCGGGAAGGCGAGCGGCGCTGTCCGCGGTGCTGAGCCCCGCTGAGCCCCCGCGCCTCAACTTTCTCCTCCCGGGCAGAGCCCCGGCACAAAAACAGCCATGAGAAACTTTGGGAAGGGCGGGGGGAGAGGGAAGGGGAGGAGGCAAGGAGGAAGGCTCCCGGTTTGTTTTGTTTCTCTCCTCCGGTTTTGGTGGGTTTTTTCCTCCCCCTCTCCCTGGCTGCTGAAACGGGTTAATCTGGTTTTATTCGTATTTTTGGAAGGGGGTAGAAAAAAGTGAAAGTGCCTAAGTGAACTCGAATCAAAAGGCAACACGTCAGATCAGACCAAGGGAAGAGAAAGGCAAGTGGGGAGGGGAAGAAAAAAAAAAAAAAAAAAAAAAAAAAAAAAAAAGAAATAAAGTGATCAATAAAAATCAGTTTTGTAATTAAACCCAGAAATGGCTCCAAACGGGGCTCCAGCCTCCTCCTTCCCAACTCTTGCTCTGCACATTACACAGAAGTGCACAAAGTAGCCCAAGACAGGAGAATTTTCCATATTCCTAAAACATGTCGACCAACTCAAAATGGACGCCTCTTTTTTTTTCTTACGTTTTAACTACTGCTTATCTTTTTACTACTAGTACTGAAATAATTCTTTCCCCCGGCAACACATCAGAGAATCCGACCTCATTATCAAAACATGCATTTTCTGACTCTATGCAAAAGAAAATGGATGTTATATCCCCTGCCGCCAGTATTTTTCAGCTAACGCAGACACTTTTCGGATGTTTAGATAGTGCATCATAAAAACAAGAAGAAAAACCAAACACAACTGAATCGATCTGTTCCTTACTTGTTTCTCATTAAGAGCTGCTATTCTTGATTGCCTTTCATGGATTTGTTTCTTAAGATCCCCGTTCTGCAAAAACGGCAACAAGACGCATATTAAAGGCAAAGTGCAAACTAACCCCGTGATGAATAAACTTGCGAGCTAGAAATTGTTCAAAGGCAAAACCATTCCACCGAAGCCGTACAGAAGCATGCACACACAAAACACCCTCCTTAGCAAGAAAGCTCAGTGCAGACTACAAAATGAGATCTCTTACTGATAAAGTTTCTCATCCTGCTGTCCCAGCACAACTGCGCTTATTACAGCAGGGATAAAATACTGAAGAAGAGAAAAAAAAAAAAAGGATCTGCATTTACCTGTGGATCTTGCTTCATCTGTGCAACTAGTTTCTATTAAAAAAAAAAATCGCCCCACAAAAAAGGAGGAATTAGAAACTGTTTCAAGTTTAATGGATTTTTTTAAATGTATGTATGTGTGTGGACGGGGGAGGGAGGGGGGTAAGGAACAAAGAGGCAAGTAAACACTGCGAGTCAGTTTCAAGCAAAGCTCATAAATATTCAAGTCTCGTCCTAATCTCTCCAACACACACACACACACACACACACACACACGCACTCTCACTCACACTCACAGCAGCACGGACTGCAGCGCTGACTCCGCATCTCCCCAGCACACACACACACACACACACACACACACGCACTCTCACTCACACTCACAGCAGCACGGACTGCAGCGCTGACTCCGCATCTCCCCAGCACACACACACACACACAAAAAAAAAAACTCAGCCAAACAAGCCGCAAAAGTACTTTGGGGCAGCGCTCGCCATTGCGGCGGGGAGCCGGGGGTCCCCGCCGCGCCCCCCGCGAACCCCTCCCCTGGCCGCTGCGGCAGCGCGGCTCTCACACACACTCTCACGGAGCCTCTCACGGAGCCTCTCACCGCGGCTCTCACCGAGCATGCATCGCCGCGGCTGGCAGCCCGAGCGGAGGCACGGCGCGGCCGGCCGCCCCCGCATTTCATTCTGTTACCTGCTGACACTGGATTTCCACTTTTAACGCCTCCTGCAAGCTGTGTAGCTCCATCCCTGCAACTTGCCAGGCACTTTCCTGCCACTTTCAGATCCGAGTGAAGTTTTTTTTTGTTTGTTTGTTTGGTTTGGTTTTTTTTTGCTTTTTTTTTTTTTTTCTCCCTTTTTTTTTTTTTTTCTCCCTTTTTTTTTTTTTTTCTCCCTTTTTTTTTTTTTTTCTCCCTTTTTTTTTTTTTTTCTCCCTTTTTTTTTTTTTTTCTCCCTTTTTTTTTTTTTTTGGCTTTTTTGGTTTTGTTTTTTCTCTCTTGCTTTTTGCAACAGACCCGCCAGCCAGCCACCCCTCCCTCCGTGGAAAAATGGAAGAAAATGATCTTTTAAAGTAACTAAAAAAAAATAAAATAAATAAATAAATAAAAAAGGAAAGCCGGGAAAAAATAAAGTAAAATAAATAATTAAAAAGAAAAGGAGTGGCGGCACCAGAACAACGGTACGGGAGGAAGAGCGGCAGGACAGCGGGCAGACACAAGTACTCGGCGTGCTCGGCAAGTTCTTCGCCTCTTTGCTGGGGACACGGACTCATTACTCACTTTCCGCCGATCTGGAGGGATGGGGATGGGGATGGGGATAGGGATAGGGAGAATGAGAGAAAGGGGGTAGAGGATAGAGATAAGGGTAGGGATAGGGATAGTTGAGAGGGAGAGGAATAGGAGACAGGGCCAGAGATAGGGATAGAGACAAGAACAGGGACAGGGGATTCAGAGTGGGATAGGGGAAAAGGAAAGGACGAGAGCACGGACAGGGGATTCGGCTTCCTTTCCTTTCCCTTTCCTGCCCACCCCGAGCGTGTCCACTGGGGACTGTCCTGGGGTGAGGGAGGGACGCCCCTCAGCATGGCGAGAGACCTTCCTCCCAGTTCCCCCCAGATCCCGGCCTTCTGCTCCAAGCCAAGCGCTCCCACTCCACCTGACCCACGCTCCCCTTCCCAGCCGGTGGATCTCCTCTGCCCTTCCCCGTCCCTGTCCTCACGGGGCCAGCCGGGGCAGCCGCCCCTCGCTCCGCCCCGCCCCGTCCCGCCAGTGTCTCCCCCATGGCGTGAGGGGCCGTGCTCGCCCCAGGGAACGCTCCCGCCGCCCGGGATCCTCGGCCATGCCCAGGATCCCGGCTGGTGTCACCTGCTTCAGGCAGAGATCCAGGCACTGGGGAGTCACAGGGTCCGGGAGGGTCACAGGGTCTGGGAGGGTCACAGGCAGCGCATCCATTTTACGCGGTTCCTCACCCACCCCATCCAGCTGCTCCTCACCGGGACAGCACCGGGACTGCTGTACCTCACTGCTGGTGTCCTCGCACCCCAAAGTGGGGTGACAAACCTGAGACACATTAAAAAGCGAAATCTAACCAGCGGAGTTTCCTGTCTTCTGGCAGATGAGTTACTTTCAGATCTGCAGCTAAGGGAGAGCACAAACGGGGTTGTAGTAACTCAAGGAAGAAGGGATGGGAGTGTGGCACCCGCTCAAATGAACCTGCTTCTGAGGGATGGCGATGCAGATCCTCTGAACCTATTTAGTTAATAGATAATATTTTAAACTGGTTGACTCAAGAAGGGTTGACTCAAGCGGATGCTCCAGTTCAGCCAAGTCAAGTTGAATAGTAAGGGATCTGAGTGCCACCAGGTCACCGTGCAGCACAGATGTGCTCCAGGTGTGGACACAAACACATCACCTTGATGTCACTTCTCTTCCATGAATATGGGATAAGACTTCAGGTCCTAGAGACAGACACTACCTGATGCAGCATCAAGCCAGCTGCCAACTTTTTAAAAATAGATTCAAACCAGCAGCATCAATGTACATTGATGTTTTACCATGTTTTTTTACCAGTGCTTTACCAAGCAGCTGCAGTATTTCCATGCACTAATGGGAGCTGTGCAGCTAGATTTACTGTTGTCTTGATGCATGGCTGGAGTAGGATTGGAAGCCAAAAACAATGTTCAGAATAATTTTATTGATGACAGTCAAAATTTAGGGCACCATTTAGCAAGCACCTTTTAGCCAATGGAGTGCTTGGGACCAGAATTTGGGTGTATACATACTCCACTCCTGCACTGATTGAACACTGATATTTTATTCAATCTGCACTAAAACACAAAGCTAAAACTCAGCCTAAATCATTAGTCAGTATTTAAAACACCACTGTGCTGCTGTTGTGCTTGGTTGAAAATTTCAATAACTAAGTTCATCTCAAAACTATTTAAAGACACCAATATATACCAAAACCAACTTACATCAACTATACTCTAATTAAAACTGGTTTGAGATATGATGTGTTGAGAGTCCAAAACAATGTACCCAATTCCCATTAAACTTCTCAAACATAGTCTGTTCAAGCATAGCACAACTTCTTACACTAAAATAATTTGAAGATTCATGGGGAAATATTCTTAGCTTGCCAAAATTAGGAGTAGTCTAAACAGAAATTTTCTATTAACCTTACAATGAAATAAATTATTTTGGAAGAGCCTTATTTTAAAATCTAAATTCTACTCACATTTGTAAAGACAAATCAGTCAATCCTGCAGATACTGATAAGTATGAAAATTTTTCAATATCGAAGCAATGTTACTTCTCATGTCTTCATGTACAAAGGTATTTTGTAGTGTTATACACAACAAAAGCAGGGCTTTGGCAAGTAATTTTGTAAATTTTGAAGGTAACCTCTGGTTATAGAGCAAAGCTTCTGTGGTTCAGCCCATCAACTAAAGCTGATTAAACTAGTAAAGTATGATTCCTTTACATGTTAGTGGCTAATTCATTGACATTATGCTGGTTGATTTATTTTAATGCACATTCCATTGGTAGAGAAAAGAGCCTTTTTCTTACCATTATAAAATAGTCACTTGCCGACCACAACAAAACTAGTGATTCCTGTAAGCCTGACTTCCTGCAAAGATGTCTATGGGTTCATGAAGTAGACAATTTGACTCTAACTGCGAGGGGTGAGGATTGCCATGTCATCGTCCCCACAGCACTGTGATGTCAACAGGAAAGTTTAGAAATTTGTTTAAGCTGCCTACCATTCAAAAATCAGTTTATACATCTTCAATGCTACTGTGATGGGCCACACATTTTAATATAAATATAAATTATCAGTTATAAATTATAACCAATAATGAAGTGCATTGCTTTTCATTTATTGATGCTGCGAATATTGCTTTCTAGTGAAGCTGTGTAAAATACATTAATCTGACAAATACATTTATGCGATAACATTATGCAATCACCTAGGAAAATGTTAACAGCTTTATGCAATTTACTTGAGGATTATGATGGCGAAAATCATCCTGCTTGCAAGAGCTCAGGGGACTTCCCTTCCATCTATTCCTCTGCATAAGGAACAGCTACAGTTTAGCTGGGAAATGCAAAGTGAATTGGGGGGTGAGTAGGACGGCTGCCACTGTTGCAGGTGAGTTTGCTTAAGCATAGAAATTTAGGGTCAGTGCTAGACAGAAAAAGAATTTTGAATGAAATGTCATATGTCATGTGATTAAACACATTTTTCATTATCTCCTGAAAACATTATTCTTGCTCTTAGAACTTTTGGGACTCCAGAGGTCCTCCAGAAGAAACGGTATCTCTTCTTTCTCCTAGAGTGGTGGAGAGACACCATTCAGAGCCTCTAAAGGGACTTTTACAAACAAAACTACTCTGCAGTGCTGGAGAAAAGATGTGTGTTCTAAGCAAAATATAAACATAGCTTTTTTGTTGCCAGAAGGTATTTTAGTTTCTGTATGACATTGTTAGGATGAGAACAAAGAGGCAAATTTTACAAGCACTCATGAAAAGTTTAATGCATGTGTATCACTTTCACAGTCCTTGGTAATAAAGTTACTTATGTGTGCAAACATTTCTAAATCAGAACCTTTATCTGCTAAAAGTTATTGTAGAAATGTGTTGACAGATTGACCTGTCTGATAAGATTACCTAAAAAGTACGTATCAATAGAAGACCAATAAATAACATTTGTAACAATATTTCCTGCATACAGAGACTCAGGACCAATTGCTGTATCAAGAACACAAGACGCCCAAAACTTTTTTCTTCCCATGCCTGTAATTACAGATAGCCAGGAATCCAACATCTGGGAGTAGAATCTCGCATTTCAAGTGCCCACAAGAGCTGATGATGTTCCTCCCTTATGAGTGATTCAGAACAAGACTTGCAAATTTACAGAGGAGAGCAAGGCACTGAATTATTTTTGGTAATACTGTCTTTCATTATAGTTAACTTGGAAATTCACATTCCCACACTCCATTGTGCAATAGTCTCACTTTCCTACAGAAAGTGCTACAAAGACGTGGAGGAATTAAGTACTGAAAGGCAACTAATGAATTAATGACATTGCAAATTCCATGGACTTCAAACCCTCTTTGCAAACTGGCAAGGAAAAGGGTCTGAAAATGGTGAGATCATGAGGAGCTGAGAAAGAAGGAAATATCTGTTGGATAGAGGTTGCCCTGGGAAAGTCCTTGAAGTGACTAGCAATGTACCACAGAACTTTGTTTTCCTACAAGCCACTGTCAACCTCTCTGCAAGAGCAGGGGCTCTTTCTAAAAAGTGGAAGCCAGTGGTAATAAAACTTCAGAACCAGCAAGGTAAGAAGAAATCTAGGACAGAGCTTGAAGCCCCACTGAGGGGCTTAAGGCTATCCAATCTGTCCAGGATGTGTAGTTTGCCCTGTATTTTCTGGATACCTCCATCCTGCAATATATTTCTTCCCCTTTTAGGGTCATCTCTCCACCTTAACTGAGAAGATGCTTTAGAGAACAGGAATTATTTTATGGAAGTAACATTTTCCTCTTCTCAAAAGATTTATCTGTAGACTAGAGACAATGGTTCGTCATCTTGGTGAAACTGAGAGATGTAGCCAGCTCTTGTCTCTGGTGGAAAAACCTTTGGGAGAGGCAAAATGAGTCAGGAAATTAATTAATTCCCCAAGATTATCAGAGGGAAGGGATATGAAGAACAATGAAATGCTGAAGGCTAAGGTATGCAAGAGGCT